ATCTATGTATTTCAACCAGCCTCAGCCGGTACAGCCACCTATCGGAAAACGGCGGAAGCAAAGTTGTACACCAACCAGAACATAATTTGACAGCTGCCTATCTGGCTGCGTTGATTCAGAGGCGTATTTAGGGAAAGTACGTGCCGTACACAAATTTTTTTTTTAAATGATGAAGAAGTTTTTATTCGTAGATTTCGTCCTTCTAAAATTAGTGCAAAATACCATTGGGAAAAAATAGAAAATAAAATTAGAAGCAGCACTGAAAGGTTTGTGAAAATAATGAGCTTTGAGTAAATAAATATTGTTGACAATTTATTTAATTTTGCAGGAATAAAGCAGCGGAAATTTCGCTTTTAACATTATGTTATTAAGCATCGGAAGGTGTCTTAATTTGTGTTCTGGTGTTGGGCGCAAGAAAAGTGGAGACTGGCAGTCGGGTAAACAAACATTGCTACCGCGACAATTGACCGATCATTCCTCAGAATACCGAAAAAGCAAGGAAATTGAAAGCTTTTGCGTACAATTCACCGAAGTTTTTAGAGGTGTTGGGGTGTTTAAACCTGAAGATGGAAATGCAGAAAGCTTTTGAAAAAGAAAAGGGTACTTGTAAAATGGAAGTAATGGATTTTGTATGTAGGTAACCTGGTTCTGAACATGAAAGCATTATTTTTAATAATAGCTGTCTAAACCACCGGTTTGAGCAAAACGAATTTAGGGACTTCTTTTGATTGGGTGGTAGTGGCGTCAAATTTTTACAACCCAATCTTCGCGCGAACGTCTTTACAATGAATATCAAATCCGTACTCGAAATTGCTTATTTAGGAGCCGTGGAGTGAGAGTTTCGCTCAGCACATTTATGAACATCATTGTGACATGTAGAGTGGCACAATTTTGCTATCTAGAATGACTCTAATTTGGATGAGGTAGAAGTTCAAGCGAATGAACCAGCAGAAACATCCGTTGATGCCGAAGAAAACGTAGTTGAGGTTCAAACATTTTATATATGTAATTTAAGACCATCAAAGTCCTTTTTCACAAAGAAAAATACCATACAAAAATATTTAAAAAAAAAATAAAAGAGAAAACGGCAGATCTTAAGAATTACGCAACCATATCGTGTGGAAAATTTTAAGCAAAAACCAGCTGTCATGCAGTTTTGATGTATTCACATTGCAATTTTTTGTGATTTTACCTTAAAATATTCACAATAATCCAACTAACTAGAAGTTAGGTAACCAGAACTTGATGAAAATGTCACATCAGTCTATCTGACGGTTAGCTATCCTCCGGATAAAGGTTAAGTTAAACGGACATTGTGAAAACGGGCATTAGAGTTTTACATTTTCTATTAAGTTATAGCTCTGGATTCCTTTTTAACATTGTACTTCTAAGCCTAGGCTACATCGTAACGTCGAATTTCATGTTAAACTAACAACTACAATCGATCCGATTGAAACATTTATTTCATTTTGTCGTTAATGTTAAATTGTTGACAGATAATGCTAAACGTCGTTAATGTTAAGTCTTTAACAGATAATGTTAAGCGGTGGAATTGAAGCAGCTGTTAAATCATTTTAAAATTAACGTTAACGATGAGTTTGTGCGGTTTCAATATTGACAATTTCATTTCATTTCGATAACATTGCGCCGAAAAGAAACAAAATCATTTTGTTAAGTTCAGTTTTCATATTGATGTGACACTAAATCACATCGTTACGTTAGCTGAGTATCTCTGCTCTAAACATATTTTATTTTGAATTCATTGCAGTCAGTGTAGAATACCCTCTTTATGGCACAATAATAGTTAATTTCTGTCATAATTAACATTATTCACAACTAAACATTCAGGTTTTCCTTTATAGATTTCCTTACATTTAAAAACAGCTAATTTCTGTTGAACTTACTAGTTTTATGTACCGTAATTATGGCTGAAATAAAATTTTAATAAGCTATTAAGTTCTTCAAATGAGCTCAATATTATTGTTCTCACTTATACATTACTGTTTAATGATATCTACATATTTACTAAGCGCTCACTTGAAAATTTAAATATTATGGTTGCACGATTAAAAAATGTTGATGTGGAATATACTCGTTTGAAAGTAGATTTTAATTATATTTTATTTTTTATTTTATTTCCGAGCCACGGATTTTCAACAAGCAGTAATTTTTTTCTCAACGCACACAAATTTATTTGGTGTTTCCAGAGATACGAGTATATATACACATATTCACCTTTTTACACGAAGTTGAGAAGTGTTAAAGAGAAGAGTAGATCATATTTATACAAGCAGACCCGGTCAGATGTTGGTGCGGCTTTATGTATTTCATCTAATTGTTATTTGATTGTATTATTGTTGTTGTTGTAGCGGCTCGCTAACCCGCTCAAGTACAGGTTTGATCAATCAAGTCGCAGAGGTCATCTAGTGGAAGCTCCAGGAAACGAGCTGTTTCGACGGGATTGGACCAAAGGGAAAGGGGGGTTAGATGAGTCGGTTGAAGGGGCATGTGAAGATTTGGTTGGTGTCGTGCGGAGACTCTCCGCATGCAAGGCATCCTTTGGGTATGCTGTGGTCGAGTCTGTATAAGAAGGAGTTTAACCTGCTATCCAGACCTAAGTTGTGCCTGTTGTAGTATTGAGCTGTGTCGCTTATTCACTGATTCGCTACTCAAAATCTTTCAGATAAACGTTAATATGAACGCCTCGATACAAGCCAAAGGCATGAATCGGATCTATGCTTATTAACACTCAAATTGAACGTATACAAATAGCTTGAAGTCCGTATTCAGGCCGACATCACCGCCGTTAAAGACGTGCGATGAACGCGACAATAAGTAGGTCCTTGTCAAAATTACTAAAGCGGTTATATAAAGGAGCAAACTTCGTGTTGGATTTTTAGTGGAAAAAAGACTTCATCGCCGAGTATTGGCAATAACTCCAGTCGATGAAAGTCCCGGCACAATCCAAAAACAAGGGACAAATTTTTCAAAGTGTCACTGATATGCGCCTAGCTCCGATGATAAGATAAGAACCATGCGACATAGTTTCTACGTTAGGGCACAACAGTCGGGAAATTTAGCCTCCATGACGAAATTTCCCCCAACGGCATAAAACTGATCTACTTCGCTCGGGCCTGATATATGGTTGTCTGTAGTTACAAATTCCCGCACAGGAAAATACATCCAGCTACATGTTGTGATTGACGGACATGTCTCCAGTGTTCACAAGAACAAGAACAAGTATTTAAAAGAACAACGTGATGCTGGAAAAAATATTTCGTGTTGCAGCGCTGAATGCAGAAGGCACAATATTTCACAAGAGTGTACAACTGCTGGCGAATGCCGATGATATTGATATCATAGGTCTTAAAACCGCACCGGACTGACACCAATGCTGGCTGGGTATGAACCGTCAAACAGTCAGGCAAATTTTAATCGACGATTTTGGATCGCCGTGTTGCAACAACTGCCTTATTCGATGTGTCACCTTGTGACTTTTCTTTGTTCCTTAGAACAAAATCGGTGGTCAAAGGAACCCATTTTGAGTCCATTGAGAACATCCGGGCAGCCGTGACGAGAGTACTCGTGAACATGCCAGTCGAAGCGTACCAGGAATGTTACGAAGCATGGAAAAAGCGCTGGAATCGTTATATAGCTGCCCAAGGGGCCTACTTTGAAGGGGATGGCAGAGTTGTAGAATAATTACAATTATATGGTTTTTATGGAATCAGTCTCATTACCTAATTGTCACACCTCATAGATTCTAAAAAACGGAGCGGAGAACGGAGTATGTAGACTATAGTCCGCTATTGTATGTAAATGGACATTTGAAGTATTTATTTAAGGGCTAAAACTACTCTAGTTTTTGGAAAATAGAATTATTTTTAAAAATAGAATTTCTATTTAACCATTTCATTGAACATACTCGTATATTGAAGTATAAAAGAATATCCTTTAATTATTATTTTGTTACAAAATGGTAGTTTATTATTTAATCCATATTTTTTTGAAAGGCGTCCAAGAGAGGACCGATTTCTTCTAGAGGATGAGACCAGAGAAATAGAGAAGCAAATAGTTTTATGATCTGCAATCTATAGTCTGTGGAAGTACGTACGGATTTACTTTTTAACTAATTTTTGTGAAACCGGCACACTTCTTTTTAAAAAAAAGTTTGATTTCTGATAAGTAAATCATTACATTAATAAAAAAAAATTACACTTAATCGAAAAACGGCTACGTTCTTCCAAAAAAAAAATGTATTTGCAAAGCCAACATCAAAATTTCAGATAAATCGATGATATAGGGTTCGAAAAATCTGTCCTCTCAGTTTACAAATGTGACTTTGATTTAAAGTTTTCATTGTACTCAGCACACGCTCTGAGGGGCTGCAGCAAAACGAAAAGTTCAACTATTTGATATATTTTTTTAAAACCAATTACATATCATTTCTACGACCCAAATTTACTCTGTGTGCAATAAAAAAAAATTGCGTTTTCCAAAATACTAGAGTGGATTTACCCCTTAAAGCTACTCTCTGCTTTGAAGTTATGTAAGGGGAGTAATAGAAGGAGAAAAAATCAATTATTTATCTACAGTTTGAATGGGATAGCGCTCATCCTTATAAAAAGTAGAAGTTCGTTGTTTAAGTCTTTTGTTTAAGTATTTAGTAATGAAGGCGCAGGCAGTAGTTGTAGACGTACGAGTAATTGATTCTTAGCTTCGTGTAACCTCCATTTAGCTAAATTGGTAAAACAAAACTTGCGTCTATCGCTTTTCAAAACGCAAAAGCAAACACCAACTCCATGAAGAATAAAAAGAAAATTAATAAGCAAAAAACTTTTTGTGTGTATTTGTTGTTGCGGAAAACACAAAAAAGCGCTAGTTCATATGACTTCATATTTATGTGATATTATACGTGTTTCATCATTTTCGTGCTACCAAAAAAAATCTATCTCTTCTGCTTTGTTATAATAATAAAAAAATTATTTTCAAAAAAAAAATTATTTTCAAAAAAAAAATGATTTCTGCATTTTATTTGGTACAAGCGTTCGCCAGCGACTTTGTTCGCCTGAAATTTGAAGATGGTTCTACTAAGATTTTTTGTTAGGTTTATTCGAACCAAAACCCCGATTTTTTCAAACAGTTCGATCACTGATCCACTGCTCCGAACAATAGTTTCCACATATTGGCTCATGAAAATGTCTGAATAGACCGATTCCAAGTTCACTTTCCGGAAGAAAAAGTGTTCCTCATGTTAATCCAGCAAATTTCGTGTAAAAAAATTAATTTAATTTTCTGTCTGGGTCTATAATTTCAATTTTTGTATTATGGTTTGATTTTTAGTATCGCGAGGAATTCACGCATCATAGAAACATTCCCCACTTTACCTTTTCACTTCCAAGGCCTCACATTTTTTGCTGCTGGGCTATGTTGATTACATATATACACATATCTTTTTCGCTAAACGTTCATTACTTCAAAACCCCGCCGTTAATTAATGCTCTATTTATTCGACTTTAATTGAGGCGAGTGATCTGTTGCGAAGACTCCTTTATATTGTATACAAAGGGTGATATATTTCGGAGTTCCTTTCTTTAAAAAAAGATTCAAATTTAAGGGGAATGTTAATATCAATCAAAAGAACATTCTTTGGCATTTATTTTGTGAAGATTATCTACTTCAAATAATGGTCGCGTCTACGACCCAGATGGTCTATCTGTTGAATCCAATTTTCGATGATTGTTCGATCATTTCGACTTGTAACTCGCGCATGACATGTGTGAACTGCTCCAAGGCCTGAATCGAAGCGGGATTGCCTGCATAAACTTTAGACTTTACATATCCGCACAGGAAAAAGTCTAACGGTGTGATTTCACAGGTTCTTGGTGGTCAATTGACTCTACCAAAACGTTAAATTATCTGCTCACCAAAGATTTCTCTCAATAAATCCATTGATTGATGCGATGGGCGAGAAGCGGCACCGTCTTGTTGAAACCAAATTCCGCCGAAACCACGTGCTTCAATTTCCAGCACCGGAGTAGTCGTATCAAAGCGCGATAACGGTCGCCATTGATGATTACGTTCTCACCGGCATCATTTTTGAAGAAATATACGCACCTATGATTTCACAGGCTCACAAACCACACCAAACCATTGGTTTTTCTGGAAGAAATGGCAGCTCTTGAATCTCTTCAGTTAGCTTTTTGTCCTAAATGTGGCAATTTTGGTTGTTTACACACCGAATAAGCCAGAAATTAACTTAATTGGTGAACAAAATTTGGCTCGAAGACATCGGATCTTCATGGAACTTTTCAAGAGCCAATAGAGCGAAGCGATATTGCTGTAAGCTGTATTTTGTACGCTTTCAAGTTAAGATCTCATCGTATATTTGCCAAGGCATTCCACAAGTCAGTCCGAGATGCTGCGAACGGCGCCGAATCGACTCATCACGGTCTTCGTTTACACTCTCAGCTACGACCGCTTATTTTTTGCTCAACGCGTCTCAAAATGAGTGATGGTGTTGCGTATAGTACGTTCAGGAGACCGATTATGTGGACCTTAAGTTAAGTGAAGCGCACGAAACATATTCTTTACAGAACGTGAACTTTCGTAATAAAGTTGTAACATTGTTCAGGTGTAAATTTTTCCATGATGAAATGCCGAACAATCTGAAGAAAAACCATTAATAAATAAATTGTGGCACGGAGAGAAACTACAAGTGATTCAATGATCTAAAACTAATCTTTATATATTTATTAAAAATCATGTGTTGGTTATGCACCAATTGCTGACTATCTTGGGAAGAAGCAAATGATTAGTCGCTTAACTGGAGTTTGTCATATATGAGTATGTATGTACATATGTATAAAAGATATTGACAAACAGAACAAATGCTTCATTTTTTATTTCTGGATATAAGCTTGAGCCAAAAACCATGTTTCGGTGCAAGCTGAAACCCTCCATTGGTGCTCAACTCCAATGGTATTACTGTCTTCTTGGAGGCGGCAATTCGAAAATCTCGAATTAAATAGTATAATATTGCCTTTGCTTCCAATAGTGCGAAGCGTGAGGCTGAAATACAAAATGAAATTGAAATACATACATATATGTATATACTAGTATGCGTCCGTATAACTCACCAATACAACTGCGTGGTCCCTCATTAAAGGGTATGTAAGTAAATGGTTTAATTTTGTCCTTGTTCTCTGTGCTGAAACGCGCGGGATCGAATTTTTCTGGATTTGGGTAATACTGTGGATCACGATGGAGTCCGGCAATGGGTATGAAAACGAATTCACCTTCCTTTATCTCTATACGTTTCCCATCAACTTCGAATGTAAAGTCTTTCGTGCATACCCGATCACTACTAATGCTGACTGGCCATTTCCTTAATGTTTCGCTCACTACCATATCCAAATACTTCATGCTTTGTAATGTTTCATAGGTTACCTGTTCACTTTCAAGTTGTTCGCTAACGTCTTTAACCTCTTCATATAGCTTTTCTTGCACCTCCGGATTTTCCATTAGTTCGTGTGCTGCAAAGCAAATCAGCGTCGCCACGGTTTCGAAGCCAGCGAAAAAGAAAATGAAACATTGCGCAATCATTTCGGTATCAGTCCATTCGCGATTGTGTGACTTGGGTGAGTCGGATGGTAAGAGGCCGCGGGCTTCGAGTAGTAAATTCACCATGTCAGGGCGACGGACATTGTGCTCCAGACGGTATTTCATTGCATCGAGTACGAGATTCCGAAAGTAATCCGTGAGACTTTTGTCAAAGATTTCGATGCCTAGCAACTGGAAGATAACACATACAGGATTAGTTACTGGTTTCGGAATATTTTAAATGAATCTTATGTACTCGTATTTCATACCTTCATCAAACCTCTACAGTATATGAAGAGAGTAAATCTTAAAGTAGTTTTCCATGTTACTGTTGTTGCTTTCTTGCCTAACTTATAAAATGTGTTATCCTTCTGCTCGAAAGAATTCACTTGCAATCCAAATGCCGTAGAAGCGATGACATCATTTGTAAAACATGTTGCATAGTTTTTTAAGTCTAACTCAACGCCTTCTTGATCTCCTTCCAATTGTAATTTGTGCAAATATTTCGCACTATCATCAGCCACATGATTCATCAACTGAAACATATGGCGGAGTTTACTGCCAGTAAAAGCTGGACTTAATGTACTACGCATATCCTTCCATTTGGCGTTCTTCATCGAGATTATGGAATTACTAAATAGATCGTGTGCGCTTTCACCGAAAATATTGCGATGATTCATAAAGTGTTCGAATTCCTTCACCGTTATTAGTCGCAGAATTTCCGGATCGCGTATGAGATATGCCGGTGTAGATTGCATAAATATGCCATATATGCTGAAATTATTAAGTAAAAATTAAATGCCCTTGGATACCAACATAGACCTTATTAGACTAAATTCAATATCAAATAAATTATTTACGATTTTAAATCCATTATGAGCCCCACTAAAATTTCCATAGTTCTGACGGGATATATTGGATGAGTGCATAAATTCGTGCCCGATTTCAAGTGCAAACTAAAATTGAAATTTTTTGAAGAAAGCGCTTTTATTAATCAATTATGTATACGCCATCATGTTCGGCAATCCACTCCCAACGTTCAACCAATTTACGGATGCCTGATTTATAGAAATCGCACGGTTTCTCGTTGAGAAAGGTGTCAAGGTGGTTTTTGACGTCTTCCACATTTTTAAATTTTTTTCCATTCAAATTGTTCTGCAGCGATCGAAGCAAATGATAATCAGAAGGTGCAATGTCGGGTGAATATGGGGGATACGGCATGATTTCCCAATTAATCTCCTTCAGTTTGGCCAGGGTCGGTTTTGCAACATGTGGCCTGGCGTTGTCATGACGGAAAAGAACACCTTTGCGATTGGCCAAAATCGGACGTTTTTTATCAATTGCTTTCTTCAATTCGACCAATTGCTGACAATCTTGTTGGCAGTGATCGTTTCTCCAGCTGGCAAGAGCTCAAAATAGATCACGCCTGGCAAGAGCTCAAAATATCCCACCAAATGCATAGCAGTACCTTCATCGGATGCAATCCACCTTTCGACATCGGTTCCGCCCCTTCGTGTGCCTGTTTCCATGTTCTTTTGCATTGAACATTGTTGTACAGGATCCATTTTTCATCACCAGTCACGAGCCGATCCAAAAAAGGTTCGTTTTTGATCCGACGAAGCAAAGAAATTGCTGTTGACTTTGTTTTTTTCACTCAACTGATGTGGCACCCATGTATCGAGCTTCAAAGTGTACCCAACCTTTTTTAAACGACGAAACGCAGTTCATTTGTTGACGTTCAATTTACTGGCAACCTCTTCCGTCGAAATACGTGAGTTATTCGCAACTAAAGTCCTTAGAACATCGTCACCAAGCTCAGAAGGCCGTCCACTGCGAGGTTGATCTTCGAGGTTAAAATCTCCAGAACGAAATTTCGCGAACCATTTCTTTACTGTGCGGAGTGCTGGAGCACGGTCCAAATAAACTTCGCGAATATATTTAGTTGCAGCGCCTTCTGTTTTTCCTTTGCGGAATTCGTATAACATAATATGACGCATATGATCTTTTTCGTTGTCAATCTTCAATGCGTCTTCTCACTAAGCAACTCAAATCAAAATGAAGTTATTTTATGCTTGATTTACAGTTCGGACTGTCACATTTCCGACGATATATAATATAAATATATTTCTTTCACGAGCGCCACTCTCAAACGATTCGAACGGCATCCAGCGGAATCGGGCACGAACTTATGCACTTTATCTCTAACATGCCTATTCTGTCAAGTTAATCAAATATACTTTGGTATTAAAATTTACCATTCAGTAAATTTTGTTACTATTTCGTATTCTGAGTTCACTGTCACCCTGTAAAATTTGTGACCAGCGAAATAGCAGGTAACAAACAATCAGCTGTTCGATTGGCATATTTTACGTCTAGAATTTATTGAAGATGAAGAAAAAAGTGCGAGAAGGCGCATGTTAAGAAATTTGCGAGAAAAAAATTACCATTTTAGTTTGTCATTCAGTATTTTCGCCTGAACAAAACAATTTTTTTAGAGCTTATAAGCGAATTGGCATCATATGACAAGGGAGTAGATGCTCATTTTCGTAAGTAATTTTTAAATCAATTTTATTTTTAGACAGAAGATATCGTTGCCGTTTTATTTGAGGTTTGTCTCAACAACATATTTCTTTTCCCACGGTTCGTATCAGGAATTCGTTGGGAGCAATTGTCTAACTGCAATGAGCCAACCTTCTGTTTCACTTTCACTGCACTTATATTTCAAATCTTATTTTCAAAGTAAAAGGCGCGAATATTTGCTTTCTAACAACAAATAAAATGCAAATATTTATTTGAATTTCTTCTTTTTTTACTTTACAAACTGGCAATATAATTTGACAAGGACGAAAATAGCAGTGCTGCCAAAATTTTGTCAAACAATGTAACCTGTGCACTAGTATACAATTTCGGGTGTAACAGAATTCATTTACTTATTGGATCTGTTTTAATATAAGATGTAAGTGTACAAATCTTAAAAACTAAATTACAAACATGATATCTCTAGTTATTTAACTCTGAGCCCTTTTCAAACTACGGCGCTCTCCTTAGTAGGCGGGAACATCTCTTCGCTGCAGGCGGGAATTTCCCGATGGGTTGCAAAAAGCATTAGCCAGCGGATTTGGATGATTTCTTAGCTTTGTGAAGTACTTCGTCCCGCTTCTTTCAATTTCAGGCTTAACCATTAAATACCAAGATCTTGATGAATTTTAACGTTACGAACGTACCATGGTGCGCCCGTTAGTGCTCTTTAAATTTTGGACTGGAACCTCTCTCTCTTTTATCAATATTAGTTGCACAGGTCGTGCCCACAGTTGAATGCCATACATCCGAATTGGTTTTAATACTGCGTAGTAAATAAGGGCTTTGTAGTCTAGTGAATTTAAACTAGCTGCTTTTAATTTTTTTGCCTCTATGTGTCTCTTCCAAGACGTCTATCTAGACGTCTATCTAAGAGTATACCGAGATATGTAACATCGTTTACTTGGGGAATCTTTATACCGTTTAAGCGAATTACTGGACATGATTGCGGTCTTAAAGTAAATGTGACGTGTTTACACTTTTGTTCATTAACTTTAATTCTCCAGTTTTCTAGCCATTCTTCGATGAGGAGTAAATGATCACTAATCGTTTTTGCCGCTCTTTTAGGGCATTTATCCCAGCATAAAATAACTGTGTCATCCGCAAAGGTAGATGTCTGCACTTTTCGGTTTAAAGGGATGTCTGCCGTGTATATGATATATAAAATGGGCCCGAGGACGGTTCCCTGCGGAACACCAGCTTTTACCGTCTACTCCTCACTGATAAATTCAGATTGTTTAATGGTAAATTGTCTGTTAGTCAGATATGACTAAAGTATCATATAAAATTAAACAGGCAGAGCTTTGTGTATTTTGTACAGTAAACCTTTATGCCAGACTTTGTCGAACGCTTGTGATACGTTAAGATAGATTGCACAGCAGTACTCCTTGAGCTCGAATGCCTTTCTGATTTCATTAGTTATCCGGTTAACTTGTTCAACTGTACTATGCTTTTCACGAAACCCGAATTGGTGATCTGGTATCACATGGTTACGGTGGAGAAAAGGAGATATTTTTGATAGCTGAATAACAAAATTTGGAGTTAAAATATTTTCCGCCTGAAATATATAGTGAATTTTCAATGAACAGGATGCAGTAAAAATTAGTTGTTTATTTTGGCGGTTTAATTTGATTCAGTGCATTTTTACAGTTTTTTTTGTCCTGTTTTAAAGTATTTTCCCAAATGTTTTAATAAAAATGGCAATTATATAGCATATTTAAATTATAAATTGTATTCAAAATGTATTGTATTCCAACAATGAGGAAATTCTACAAGTTTCGTGGCCGTCAAACCGGAAATATACTAATAGATTTTTTTCTAATAGTGCTCTAAAGGACGAAGATTTATTAAAAAGAAATCCATTTCCCCAATTTGTCGTTCAGATTCTCAATAAGGATGACAGAAATACGAAAATGAGTTTGAAATTCTTTTTCCGTGTAACCCGGCCATATTAAGTCAACCTTATAACAGAATTTATTCGATTCTGTTTTAATAAAAAGCAAGCAAGAGCTTTATTCTTTCTTCTGAATGCTACTAATATTTCAATTTGTGCATCGTCGTCGCATCCGGATGCTTAAGAGTCCAGTATCGTCACTGGGACCGTTGCAACCACCTTGCGTTGCAATGTTTTGCGGCTGATTTGGTCGATATTGCTTTCTAGTAAACTATTGAAATTCAAAATCAACTTACGCTGTACTAAAAATAATAATATTTTCAAATCCAAGCCCTTCTAACTTCTAATTTCTCAACGGAAGCTGGGTGGTGAGCGGGCGATGATGTCACTCCACTGCCACCACATTTTCGTTTAACGAATGCCTTTACTATTGTTGGAATCATTGATATTCTTCAGTTAAATTAAAAAACATTAGATTTAACCATTTATTTTATATTAAAAAATTAAATTTATTTTAATTTTAAATAAATTTTTTTGTTGACAAAAATTCAATCATATGATCACAAATCAGCTGTTTTTTGCGAGTTTTTACTGGGTCAAATTTTCCCAGCACGATTTCGCAACTCTCTCTCTCATTAAACGTCAAAATTGCGCTCTATCGTTACCAATTTTTACTGAGTTTTTGGCTCAACGAACAGGATTCAGTAAAGTTTTATAAAAATTGTTACTGCCCATCTGATCAACGAACAAACCTATTTACTCTTATTTTCGACTAAAATCCAAAATATTTCAAGACAGTCGGGCCTTTATACCGGAACGACACGGACTTTTTGCCGGCCAAAGGCTGTCACTCCCTCAACATGCCTAAAGAAACTACTTTGGGGTATACTTTTACTGCTACAACAACAATCGGAGGTTGGACAATTAGTGATTATTGAGCTACCCTCACTGCGTGATCTCAAATTCTCATACTTATGAATAGACTTTTTACAAGTTGCGTATTCCATAATAAGTAAAATGCTTTTAACCTCGTACACCGTTTGTATGAGTTTAACATGCGATGGTTTGAGACGAACTTCTGAATCTGTTTTTGCGTTCATACATATGATAATGTGAAAATGGTCAGCTTATTTTAGAGCTTTCAGCAATTAGTATGCTCTTCAAGTGTATTTGTTATTATATCTCTCTTTCAGAGAGAGCAAATAGTAGTAGTATCATTAATAATGATCTATTTTTTTGATACATTAATTAATGCTTCTAGATATGCATGCATTAGGTTGGGACGAAATAAGGCCTATGTCTATATTTTAGGTGTAGAAAAAAGCAATCCATTATTTTTCCAATAGATGGCGTTCCTTATTGGTATTTCGCGCTGTAAAGAGTGATTTTTTTGGAAATAAACTTTTTGGCAACACGGGCCTAAAAAGTGAACGCACGTTTCGTGTTTTGTCTCACTGTCAAACATCTTCAGTTTGGTCTCTAATTTAACCATGAATCGTCTTACAAACGAACAACGCTTGCAAATTATAGAATTTTATTATGGAAATGCGTGCTCTGTTAATAAATTTCGATTTAGGAGTGAATATCAGCTAGAAGCATTGCAAGAGCTACCAAGGCATCCAGAAAAAGTCACAGTTTGGTGTGGTTTATGGGCTGGTGACATCATTGGACCGAACTTCTTCAAAGTTGATGCGAATCGAAACGTAACTGTGACTGGTGAGCGCTACCGTGAGATGATATCAAACTTTTTTTTTTACCAAAATGCAAGAGCTTGACTTGCTCAACAAGACGGTGCCACATGCCACACAGCACGCGTAACAATGGACTCTTTGAGAGGCGTGTTTGTTGAACATTTATTTCACGTTCGGGACGGGCAATTGGCCCTATAGATCGTGCGATTTACCGACCTTAGACTATTTTTTGTGGGGCTATGTTAAATCTAATGTCTACACATGCAAGCCCACTTCAAATGACGCATTGGAGGATAAAATTGAAGCATTTATTCATGAGATACCGGCCGAATTGTTGGAAAGAGTATACCAAAATCGGACTAAGCGGGTGGACTATTTAAGCCGTAGTCACGGTCAACATTTGCATGAAATACTCTTAAAACATTAAATTATATGGACCGTACCATCGATTCAAATAAAGATTTTATGCAATTTTCTGAATTTTTTTCGGAAAACTTTCCTGTAGCTCTTAAAAAACACCCTTTATAAGTACGATCGGATGCCGCTAGATAGCATTAGAAAGATGACATTTCATACTAAAGATTTCGTCAAAATTGGACACTAGCAGAGAAAATACGCTTTATTTTAGAGTTTTTTTCAAAAAGGGCGAAAACACAAGCGAGGCGAATGTGAAAAGCGTTTATGATCCTGATAATGTAACAGTCAATCAATTACAATTTTGGTTTCATTGCGGTAATTTTGATGTAAAAGATGATTCAGGGAGTGGAAGGCCAACCGTCGAAAATATCGATAAAATCGTGAACATTGTCGAGCCCGACCGCCATGGAAGCACTGATTCAAAAAACCGTTTGGACCCATTTGTATAAGGCTGGATGCGAAACGAAAAAATTAAACCAATCAATTTTATGCACAAATAATGGATTAATTTTTACTACACCTAATACAATATCTTATCAAGTATATGTTTTGAAGTTTTCAAAAATTGTTGTTTACAAATGTAGCAAGGATCTACTCTTATATTCTCTGAATAAATAAAAAAAGTAAGATAATATTATTAACTTCATAATAAAAAAACTTAATGTTGGCCACTTTTTAGATTTCTTTATTTGAAATAAGATAACTAACTTGAGGTTTGAACAACGGCATATGTTGTTCTTATTTTTGCTTTTGAGGAATGTTGCGGTAGTGACCGGATGAAAGTCCAGGTCGTTCCGGTATAAAGCCCTAACTGTCGCGAAAACATTTGGATTTCAGTCGCCTATTACGACAGGCATGCCTTACCGCGGGAGAATTCTTGAATCCCCCACCCATAGGCGCAAACAATGGCAAATACTTTGCTTTCGTAAAGTTAAGGAATTAATCTAATAATAAAGCATTTCTTTGTAAAGCATATATGTATGTATGTGTAATATTTATACTTTGCTGCATGTATAATTTTCTTCCATAACGCATTGCGCAGTTAACTCACCCTCCTTTATGTTTATTATAAAGATCAAGTACGGCATGCAAAAAAGATCTTTTACGCAACGTTACATTTTTTAAACTACCAAATACAGGAAATGGTTTATCGTACGGTATACCACGTTTTTCGAAGAAGTCAAAATTTGCCGTTGCCCGACGATAGAAAAAATATAGTGATAGAACACTAAGGATTAGAAATTCCCACATCATTTTAAACCACAAAATTGAGAAAAAATAAAACTAAATTACTATTTTCACGAGAAAACCCTTTGGCTCGCGGCTATGGCACAACTGATGACTGCATGCAAAGCACTACGCTTTAAGTAATTACTTTCTGTTTATTTGTTAATTTAATATTGAGATTGAATGGTGCATATTTACAATTACTGAGCTTTCTCAAAAGCTTTATTCCAGAAGTTGGAATATTTGATACATGTGTATCAACTGGAATTCTTATCACAAATATATACAATATAATTTTTGTAGTGTAACATTAGTTGCCGGTATGATAACAATACCGAGTTTCCCGACGTAACATAGGTAAATATTTGTGAAATTATAACAAGAGTAGGAAATATTCAATAGAGCACAAAATAAATTGCTTAATGAAAAAATAGATGAAAATTATGAAATTTAACAAAAAAAAAAGAGTTATTTTATTTTTAACTTAGACTAGGTTGGTGTGCGGTATCAGCGCAGTACAACAGCATAAATTTCGTATCCCATGCTTTTACCCTCTCGTATGGAATCGCTAAGCCATTCGACGCTTATATGTCGGCTCGATCGTTTGTACCGAGATCTGTGAATAAATATAAAAACTATAGTTACATTACAAATATATGAACTGGCTTTTTGATTTACCTAAATTCACTTAGATCTTTCTGCGCTATTGTTGATGTATGGAAGATTACGTTTGCGTCCATGGAATTAGTAGTTAATCTGCCACCGTTTGAAACAAACGATCGTTTTAATTCTTCACTCACAACGTCCTCATCAAAGTATCCAATATAACTCTTAAATATTTCACTCTCCTTCTTTATTTTATCACGTTTATCAGGTGTTTCAATATCTAATTTGATTGCTTTTGGCCGGGAATCGTGAAATTCATTGTCTTTCGTGGCAGTAGAATTAAAATTTAATTTACTTTGATGAACATCCTTCTTTTCAACCTTTACTTTTAGTTGGATATTTTCTGTTTTCACTTTAGGACTCTGCGTTTTCCGTTTCTTAGTGTTATTTGGCTCTATTTCTGTTTGAATTTCTGACTCATGATTTTTCCTTTTTAGTTTTGTGCTACTTCCCGGTAGGTTATCTTCGCTGTTTTCGACCTTTGGTTTTTTCTTTGGTGTGAGGTTTATTTTCGAGCCAATTTCTTCTATTTTAACATTTTTTATATTAGCTTTATCATCGTAATTTGATAGTAATAAATCCACGTTGACATCATTTTTTGAGGCTTCATAAAGCTTCTGCAAATATTGTAAATCATTTGCTTGTTCGGCGGATTTGTCTATACGTTGCTTTGTTATACGCGGAAAACGTATTGAAATTCCTGCAGCCGTATGAGCTTCTGATTTAGTAAACTCAGCGCCTGTTATTTCCCATACAGGCATTTTATTAGGCACTTTTGCTATATAATCGGGCACCAATGCTTTCTTGCATAGCAACCATGAAGGCAATTTATTCGAATCGGCACGTTCCATTAGATTCATAAGTTCGTCATGTACTGTTTCATTTTCAGCATCATCTAAGCCAGAATGCACTTTTGTTACAGTCTTCCAGAGTCTATCCGAGTTGTCGTAGCAACCCATGAGGAATATACTCAAGGTACCACCCTTCTTTCCAGAACCAAACCAAGCACCTAAAACAACTAGATCTGCAGTATCTGCCATTTTTCCACCAAAAAGATAGTCCTTTTTCACTTTTAGCCAACCACGTTTGCCTGGTTGATAAGTACCTAGTGGATTCTTCAACACTACACCCTCAAGATTGGCCTTTAAAACCTATAAAAGAAATTTATTGTCAATAGCAATTGGTTAATTTTCTAGGTATTCAAAATTCGTTGAAATACCTTGGCGGTCATAAGAGATAATTCATCTTTCGTTTTTAGGAACTGACTTTCTGATAGTTCTACACAAGATTTTATCGGAATTATATTTTCTTCTAATATTTTTCTTCGTTTTTGAAAGGGTCTACATATACAAATAGATTAAAAATTAATAAGATGCACTTCTTAGTTTACAATATGCTACTTACATATTTGTTAAATCCTCTCCTTTGAAAAGGAGACAGTCAAATGTGAAAATGCACACCTCTGCATGCGCAAATTCTTTCTTTTTATGCGCGCCTAAAGTACCAAATGGAAGCAAATTACCAGTTATTGTATCAACTAATATTATTTCCGAATCTAAAATCATATCTCCGCCCCCTGGAAAAGCCTTCAATTGGTATTTTTATTAAACAATAAATCATAAGAATTCGGTTATTTAAGTTACCTTCGGAATAAGTTCATGGAAACGTTTAATTTTATGATCCATAACAGGTTTTAAATTTCGACTAAAAAATCTATGGAGAAGAAAGATTTATTAGGAAAAAAAATTTGTTGAAATTAAATTTTACTTGAACTCATTTCCACGTTTGTGTATCTGTACGCGCTCTCCATCATATTTGATTTCCGTAAACAAACCGTTAGGGCACTTTTTAAAAGCTTCGTCGACTGATTTGCAGGCATTAGCAAGCATAGGTGAAATTGGAGTCATTACTTGCATTAGTCCAATTTTGCCCGCGATCTAGGAAGGAAAACTATTTAAAAAATATATTGTTTACTAAGCAAATAACTTACTTTTGTTGCTTTAATCGGTGATAGTATTAAATTCTTTTGCTTGTCTGAGCTAGTAAATTGTTTAACGACTGCGGCCAAGTCGCGAGAAGATTGATAGGCAGGGTAAGCCAGCGGTCCAAATGCATCAAGAATATGGCGAGCGCCCGCATTTATGCGCAAATCTTGCTTAATGAGACGAATAATCTAATAGAACATTATTTTAACATGAGAAAACAAAAAAAAAGTAAGATCCAACAACTTTACAATTAAAATAATAGTACAAACCATTTTAAGATCTAAAGCTGTGGTTTGTTTACATATTTGCCTTAGCAAGTCAGTTTGCTCGTCCTCTTTAGAACGCTGTTCTAATTTCGCTAGGAATTCCTCGACTTCTTGAAGATAAAGCGTGCTTTCCTTTTGCGGTTTTAATTTCTTTGACGACACAAAATATTTCCTCAGCGTTTCAGAAACATCTCCATCTAAAATAGGAATTTGGTTTATTTAACTGTTTAACTTTGATGATTATTTGCTCCAACCTTGTTCCAGTTCTCGTTGCATGTCTTGTGGTTCACATACGAATATCCTTGAGAATAGTTTCAGCATTTGCTTGTTTTGCAAATTGTAAACTCGCTGAGTAGCACCAGGGATTAACATTTGCACCCAAAGCAGGACATCACCTTTGAAGCCTTTCCGATCAGTGCCTTTTTCCAAAAACTCTTTCAGCAACTGTGCCTTGTTGTTATAGCTGCGTTCAGCACCGATTTCATCACATACGTTGCTAAAGGTTTCAAGGCGATTGTCCTCAATTTTGAACATCTCTTTTGAGAATAATCGACTAGCTTGTTTATATAAGACAATATATTTGGGACGCTGATTTATAATAAAAACTTTCAACATTAATTTACATTTAAACTACTATATTACATATGAATATAAATATTTATATCTATTTATTTCACCACAGAAAATTGCAAACAGATATTTGATTCGCGTGTAAACAAATCCGGCCGTTTTGACACATCTCAGCTGTTTCCCGCTGTTCCTAACGTCAACATAATTCCAGCGCTGTCGCCGTCAAAAGTACAGTGCCGATATGAATTTTATGGTACCGCCGATGAAAGAGTACAGGTTTGTTTGCGGAATTGTTTATTTATCTACCCGACTTTTCAAATATCTCAACCTTCAATTTCAGATAAAGTTTTTAGATTTTCATATTCCAGCCGAAAATAAAAACTCAACAGAATGCAAGTTGAATGATGCTCTGCAGCTGTTAACGCAAGTACGGGGAAAATACGAACCGGCTGAAATATTTTGCGGAGCATTTCTACCAAAACCAATTATGTCGAATGGCCCAAAGCTGTTACTACAATTTATTGGCCGTTATCCCCCTACGGGGTCGAAAATAAATTACTATGGTTTCAAAGCAGAGTACAAATTTATTAAAAGTACGTCATTATACTTGTATCTATGAAGAAACGTCAAAAATATTTATAATTTCAATACATAGAATTATTGATATATTCAGTCTTTCCCCTAAGAGGCAGACCAAATCTATTTTGATTATCATGATTTTCGTTCATTTTTATTTTTATTTTTAGCTGACTATATGTATATAATTATAAAATAAACTCTCGATTTAGCCAAGCGAATAAAGCCGCTGTGACCTTAAATCAGACTCCGATAAGCAATTTCATTTGGTTGGCTCTCAAAAACATTCTAGTAAATGTTTGAATTTTTCTCAATGGAATTCTTTTCATCTTTTTGCGGTTCGGCACGAAGACTTGTTCAGTTCTTGAAACCTTCGTGTAACAGTAAATTTACATAGAATTTTCGAGTTCTACACTTTATCGGCCAACTTCTCAACCCCTTCATATTCACACATCTCAGTCTCCATCTTTTTTGTCTGCATATGCTTTCTCTACATTCTTATCATACTAACTGTTTTTGCGATTTTCGATGTAGCTTGAAACTCTGTCCCACAGTTCCCTTATACCAAGCTGCTGATGAGAGCTTTCAGAGTGCAAGTCGAGTCGAAAACCGTTCGGCTGCATGTGGTGAATACATCTTTTTGATTTCGAAACCCTCTTGTGTTTCTTGACGGGCCTACTTCGCTGCACAAAGACGGGTGTCACAAAGTAATGTTCTAGTCGCTGTTGGGTTCTCGGAGTGTATGCACGTTGGATTCAAACGTTATTCATATGTTATTCTTGTTTTTTACAGAATTTTTCTTATGAACTCATTAAAATAATTATCCTCTCTGTTTTTTCGCAATTCAAAAATTCAAATTAAATTTCAAGTTTACCCCAGTTTTAACCCAAGCCAACTATAAAAGAGTTAAAAGAGTGCTTCTGTTTATTCTTTCAATTGCTTTAATTTGAAATAAGTTATAAATCATTCGTTACTAATGATAAATGTAATTTTTTTTCCAGACTTTGGTATATCGACTGGACGGCAAGTTGATGATAACTGTACTTTCATGTATAATAGCACTGACCGGAAATCAGGATGGTTTGGCTCTCCAAATTTTCCAGGATATTATCCGCAAAATATTATATGTCATTATTACTTTTACGGTGAGCCTGAAGAACGGGTTTTTATTCGATTCACTTTCTTTGATGTAGAGGGTATCGGCACGTAAGTTGTTAAACTTTCTACATGTGTAACGGAAATTTATATCCATATAAATATTATATCTTCTTACACAGTTGCGAGTATCTGACAGCTAGTGACTACGTAGAGTTTTCGAATTTCATGAGCACGGATCGCAAGTATGGAAAGTATTGTGGGAAGCGTGATAAGTTTGAGATCCAATCTGATGGACGATTCTTCCGTGTTTCGTTCTATTCAAATGATCGTTTTGATAAAACAGGATTTCGTGCTCTGTACGATTTTCAAGGAAAGAGTTCACAGGTGGAAAATACCTCTATGCAAAGCTATGTATCCAGCAGCAATATTGTTTTAAATTCATTTTTTAGTCATAATGTTGCAATCATATTCGCAATTAACTTTTTTGGCAAATGTCATATATAAAAATATATGTAAATGGTTTGAGTTTCAATAGTCTGAGATGGTAAGTAATCAAATCATACCAGACAGTCCCACTAAGCAAATTAAATAATGTATTTTTCCCTTGGAAATAATATGTTGCACATTGAACTGTCTCTACAGCGACAGATGCACGTAGGTAGAACAGAATGAACCTAGTTTAAATATTGTCACTGATACATTATTACCTAATTATTAAGTGAATGAAATCGTAGTAAAAGGTAAGTAATATAAATATACCACATACTTCTAACTGTAAGTTAGTATTGTTAAGATTTGGCTAATTTAGCCTTGATGAATTCCTAAAAGCTTCGAGTTCGATCAATGGATTGTGAAATGAAAGTTCCAAGATCTGTTTACCGATTTTCTAATTGTAAAGAGCCTAACGAACGTTGTTTTATTGCTCAATTCGATTTATTATACACGACGATCTGTCATACAAACCGAACACTCTAGAAGTTACATATATTGGGTTGCCCAAAAAGTAATTGCGGATTTTTTAAAAGACAGTAAATGCATTTTTAATAAAACTTAGAATGAACTTTAATCAAATATATAATTGCCATTTTGTTCGATAACCTTTTGCCATCTTCCTGGCAAATTTAGTATTCCACGCTCATAGAACTTCTGGCCTTTATCTGCAAAAAACTGAACCAAGTGCGATTTTATGGTAGTCTGATGGTGCAAGGTCAGGGCTATATGGTGGATGCATCAAAAGTTCCCAGCCAAGCTCACTCAGTTTTTGGCGAGTGACCAAAGATGTGTGCGGTCTAGCGTTGTCCTGGGGGAATATGATACCTTCACGATCGACCAATTCTGGTCGCTTCTCCTTGATGGCTGTATTCAATTTGTCCAATTGTTGACAGTAAACATCCAAATTAATCGCTTGGTTCCTTGGAAGCAGCTCAAAATATACGACACCCTTCCAATCCCACCAAACAGACAGCATAACCTTCTTTTGGTGGATATCAGACTTTGAAGTGGTTTGAGCTGGTTCACCATGCTTGGACCATGATCGTTTTCGACTAACGTTGTTGTAAACAATCCATTTTTCATCTTTAGTTATGATTCGTTTTAAAAACGGATCGAATACATTGCGTTTAAGGTGCATATCACAAGCGTTCTTTCAATACATGTGGTACCCAAATATCAAGCTTTTTCACCAGTCCAAGACTTTTTATGTGATAATGAACGGTTGATTTTGGTATATTTAACTTCTCTCCTATCTCACGCTCAGTTACATGACGATCCAATTCGATTAATGCTTTGATTTGGTCATCATCAACTTCATTTGGCCGACCTGAACGTGGCTCATCTTTAAGTGAAAAATCTCCAAAACGGAATTTGCGAAACCAATTTTGACACTGTCTTCCTTTTAAGGCTTCATCACCATACACATCTCGTAACTTTTTAGCAACCTGCTCCGCGTTTTTTCCTTTACGGAAATAATAAAGTAAAATATGACGAAAATGCTCCTTTGTAGACGCCATTTTAAAATTGACGCCAAACAAACAAATGTAAACAAAATTTCACGCACTTTTTTTCTAAAGCAAGCTAAAAGTAACAGCTGATAACTGACAGAAGAAAGAATGCAATTACAGAGTCACAAGCCGTTGAAAAAATTTGTCAACGCCGACTATGTGAAAAATCTGCAATTACTTTTTGGGCAACCAATAGTTTACTGACTATACAACCAGACTTTTACAATTGTGGCAACGCAAAAGAAGAAAGCGAAGAAATTTTTAATATGAAAATACGGCAGCCCTTTGGGAATAAAAACAACTTCCATTTGTCACTTTTGAATTATTTCCGCCTCAGCACTTCCAACAAAACAAAAATACTCGACAATCAGCTGGGCTTTCTCCCCACACTTTAAGGTCGCGGTGAATAATATGAATTCGCACAGAGCAACGGTTCCAATAAGAGAAAATCTTCTAGTCTTTTTTGACTTTCGTGCGGTTTGGTTTATTATTGGTGTCGTCCGCGGCTACCATAACTTTCGAGCGGTGCTTGCAAAAGTATTTTTTTGAAGAAAAGTGCTATCGTGTATAAAATTAGCGATTCTAAGCATAAATAAATATTAAAATCATTTGCACTGCCTTTGAAAAGATTTAAAAACTACAACCCTGTAACCGGAACTCGCGCTAAATCAACTTCCAGTAATTTGCTATAAGTAATACCTAAGTACCAGGTGTAAATTTAGTAGAGTGCTGACAAAATGCTTTCGCGTCCAATGTAAGTTATTATTACAATATCCTGCATTGACCTTTTGCATAAATGACAAACAGATTACTTCTGAAATGTATGAATTTTTATAAAAATTTTAATTCAAAATTTGGATGAAAAGAAAAGAATTTAAAGTATATTTCAAGTTTCTTATGCAATGATGGCACAGCAAGTGGTAAAATGTTTGGCACCGTGCGCGGGATGTGTTGCAAATTCAATTGGGTTGGTGGTGATCTAGTGGTGTGGATTTCAATAAGTGTTTGCACATCTAGTGTGTAATAGAATTGTGCATATGCATATTTGCAGTACTTACATATGTATAAATGTATATAAGATGTTATCATTAACCTAGTGTGTATTACCACTGTTCGCTACCTGAGTGGCTGGATTATAATTTACTCTACGCTAGTGGTTATGTCGACCCTGCCCTAGTTGGATCTGCTTCCTCTTTCACGGTGATTCGTATATACATACTATGTGCATTCATATGTATGTATTTATGAATATATATTTTTGTTTACATATGCATATACATAGGTGCATATATAACAGGGGCAATTGTTACTGCATATCACTAATAGAGCGAGTTTGTAGACGCCGTTCTGTCTCGTGTGAACTATTATCCATATAAATCTGATTGCTTATACATACATATATGAAGTCGCTCATATGCGTATGCATATGTATATATATAGACTTCACCACACCCCCTTATAGTACCAGCCTATCGTTCTATAACTGATACTAGTGGAGCATTATTTGGTCACGCGATTTGTTGTTAGCATATTGATATTTCCATATATCTATATATGTATGTATCTATAATTGGCTAAAAAACTTATACATATAAATATCTAAATTCCCAAAAAAAAGTTACATAATCGGCGAAATTATTTCGCTGCTTCATCAGCTGGTATAATCACCACATTTTTCTTGGCACTGAAGAGTCAAAATAATATGAGAAATGTTTGTGTTAGGCGGTTTTGCTTATGGATGTATAAATATATGAATGTAGATATGTACGTATGTGCGTACATAGAAGCTAAAGCGTCGTATGAAAAATCAATAAATACACATTCGCACATCGGTGTGCATGGGAGTGTTCGTATGTATATATGTAAATTTTTATTGTATGAAACGTATGTGGAAATAAGTTGTTGTAGGTACTCTACTTATTTGAAAGAAAACTTAACGACTTTATTTTAATTCATGTACATACATATGTACATCTGTATGTACTTATTAGTTTTTTCCATTCATAATACGTATATACCTGCAAACCTAACTCTGTATATGATAATTTATTTTCTTTTAATAAATTTATGTATGTACCTACCTGTGTAAGTAAATATAGGAAATTTACATATACTCGTACGTACGTGCGCCAGCTGCTTTTTTCGTGCTTTCTTGTCAAATACATACAAACATACATGCGTACATTATAACAGCTGGCCAATGACATAGCTAATGCTCGAAAACTAAGAATACGTCACATTGAAATACAACAACGGCATTTTTTTTGTTTGCACGATAAGCAGTGATAGTGTTTAAAATTCCTCGTTGCCTCAATGAAATCTGTTATGACAATTTGTAATTTATTGGCTATTTGACTAATTATTATACAATTTGTATTTTAAATTTGGCTGATAACGCGTGTTCGTATCATAGTGTTTAAAGCTTAAATTTAATTAAGATTCGGCTATTTGATGAAAATCCTTTTAGTGTGTGCACAGCCCTTAAATGCGAGCAACTTCTCAATGCGCAGTTTTCATGACAAAATATTGGGTTGTTTTATTTCACTTTTTGCACAAATCAAAATATTGCCTTCTTAAAATTGTACCGAAAAGTATTTTGGGTATATTTTTGTGGATATATTTATGTGCCAACACTTATGCACATAATTAATGTGCTTAAGTATGTATGCATGTGTATAATTTGCATATTCATCGAGAAAGAATATGATTATATGAATTCGCCTTGATTATATGCACATATGGATGTATTTATATATTTATTATTAGGATTGTTTTTTCTTGGAATTAAAAGATGTTGGTTGTAGCCGAGTGGATAGCCAAAATTGCAAAGTATTTTCTCAATGATTTTGCTTTTCTGAATGGGAATGTCTAAGGCTCCAAGTAAATATATTATATTTCCCATATGAAAATAAAAGCTTATCATGAGAAATCCCTTAGCCATTCGGATGTTATGCTATAATAGATATGCACGAGGCGGTCGCAATAGCCGAGTGGTTAGCATTGTGTAAAGCTCCTTTTGTATTTTCATCGTCGGAGGCGGCTTAGAATAAGTTGTAGGTCTCATTTTTGTTTTAAAAACATCAAGACTCATATTATAAATTGGAGGAAGAGCTGGGCCCGGTTTTGCTAGCTTCTTTTGGGCACCCGAGAACTCGTGTAGAACACACAATATGCTGTTGTAGATTAAAGATTGTAGTCTAGATTTTTCCTTTTAATTTTATATACGAATTTTAGGGTATTTCTTCAACTCTTTTGTACATTTCACATTAGATGGAGAAATTCTTCCTCTAATTTGAGGATATACCGCAATATTAACATTATAAAAATAACATACTAATAATACCATACATATGTATGTATGTACAATGCATTTGACTACCTCACTAATTTGCATCAGTTTGGTAAAATAATTTACAATCTTACAAAATTTGGCAATGTCGTAATGAGGGTGGTGCGAATAGAATGTGCTTTAGAAATTTCATTTCACTTTTATTTCGCGTAATGAAAGAGAAAAAATTGTCGAAACTTTGTGAACTGCCAAGAAGTGGGTGTTTCTGAGAAAGTAAATAAAGTAAAAATATAAAAAATACATTCGCTCTCACGTATATATATATATACATATATATATGTATGTATATGTACATACGAATGTAAATACGCATAAGTATTAAAATATTGTATATATGTATGTAACTACAAAACAAATAAACAAATATCTGTATATACATTTGTATGTATACAGACATGGCAAGCATTACTCTAGATACACATAATGTTTGTAGGGTAAATGTGCTAGTTAACGGACGATTAATTTGTTTTCAACTTCATGCTGATTTTTTTTTCATACTACTAATTATGTCAAAACATTTCATACCAATTCGGTATGTTTAATTAGTTCTAAATCAACTGAAAATTATAATGTTTATATACTTATTTTTTTTTTTTGTAAAAGCCAAATTTGTAATATAAATCGTATTTTCTAGTTAATGAACGGTCAATAAAAATCCAGCAAGTGTACACCCATTTAAATTAATTTTTTTTGAAAATTAATGGAATGACGACTGCGGCAGCCGAGTGGTTAGCATTGCGTACTGCCGGTAGGAAGAATCAGGTTCATATCCTGGTGTCGTACTAACATCCAAAAAGTTATAGAAAATTAATTTAAATAAAAAATTAAAATCGCTTTAGCGGTTACAAAGCACCAATTATATATATGTTAACATATAATAAAATTTCGTTAAATTAAGTAAATATTTATTTACAATCCCACCAAAGACACAGCAAAACCTGGTGCATCTTTGACAACGAAATTTCCGCAACAGAACCTAGCAAACCACTTTTGTGCTACACGTTCGTTTACAGTACCGGGCCCATAAACTAAATTAATTTTTTCATCCTCTTTGGCTGCTTTTTCGCCTTGGTGGAAGAAAGATTGTAAAATATAACGAATTTTCTCTTGGCTGGTGTCCATCTTTGACGAGCGCTCACAACGCACTGAGCCAATCAACCAAGAAACTGTCAGAGACAAACTTTTAGCGCGAATAAATAAGTCTTCAGCGCCGTATAGTATGACATGATGCGACACGTAACACCAGTACTATTTATAGTAACGCCATCTCTTAAATAAAAACCGAACAGTTTTTTTTACTCAACCTAAATTATTATTTCTAGTACAACGGTTGGTTTTGAATTTCTATAATTTACCAGAAAGCAGTAAAAAATTCGAATCAAAGTTAGACTTCTGGAAGTGAAGATGATGCACAAAATGAAATATTAGTAGTATTCTCTCTTACCAAAACAAACAGCTGTTATACAACTTGCTGGCTAATTTTTACTTAATCCTGTTCATTAAAAACTAGGTAAATTTCTTTCTTTGGGAGATTAAGGCATCTTGCTCTCTCAATTTCGTTACTAGCTAGTTTTTACTGTAATTTCTCAACGAACCCAGCTAATATCTGACGAGCTCTGGGTAGTAATGTCTTCGTCCAGGTCCTGAAGGTAGTGGAGTAGATCCTCACAGCTACATTTTCAGAGAGCGAGTAGATACGGGTCCGATGTAAATAAGAATATATCCGTAAAGGTTAAAAATACTACCTGATCACGACCTTTCAAAAGGAATGTAGATCCTCGCCACCTCTAAATGTCTGATTTAATATACAATAGGCGAAAAAGTAGCTGCTCACCTGCTTCTGATGCCTAAAACGCATGCATACTTATGTGCAATCTATCTAACGCTATAACAGTACGGATATACATATAAGGTTGTAATACAATGTAAAAATCCTTGAAGTATTAAAAAAGAAGAATAGTTTTTTCTCACCTCCAATGGAATTCTAACATTTTTTTGATTATATTTAAAGGTCGAATTTTATACGAAGATATTCAAATAACTATGCTTTCTCTTTTCCCGTTAAATGTGATTGCGGGCCCAAATTTGCAAGGAAACTGTGGAATTTTACGTTTAAAAGATATTGGGGAAAAGGCTTGGGGATTCTGTATATGTATATTACCATACTACATTCTCTTGATTAGGAACTCTTTTTGCTCTTATTATTGATTTAAAAAAATGAATTATATTTAACGTATAGAATGATGAAAGAAAGGGCTGTAGAAAAGAGATAGTTTTTTTCACATCTTTTTCAGTTGCCGGACACACTGTCCATACATTAAAAATTAAGCTTATTTGTCATTCCATTAACAAAATATGTATACCAAATTAATTATACATTAATTGTTAATAAAACTAAGCACAGG